TGATTAATCTCTTCTACAATATCTGGTGCTGGAGTGTCCATGCAGGATCAAAGGATGCTTTGTCTCATTTCATCTGAGCTTTCCATTTTGTTGATCTATGTTGAATAATGCTCTGATGATAAAACTAGTAACTTTTCTGTTTTTTTTTTTTTTGAGGCAAAATAGTAATTTGTTCTCCAGAACACTCACCACCAAGTAAACAGGCTTGGAGATCTCTCTCTTTCCTCCTGTGTTTACCTACTCTCTATAGTAAGCCATCCATCTATATGGAATGCATTTTATTTTATTTTTTTTTCATGGAGGTACTGGGGATTGAACCCAGGACCTCGCGCATGCTAAGCACATGCTCTACCACTGAGCTATACCCTCCCTCCCTTGTAATTTATTTTAACGTTTTAGCTTCATCATTTCTATTCTGATTGTGAGAGGGTGCTTGCACTTGATTTGTTCCCCCACGTAACATCTGTAGCCCTCGCGCTTTACAAAGCCTCTGCATTCAGCACACACAGCTTCAGCATTATTTCTCTGGAACCTTTCCCATTGTTTCTTCCCTCATCAACGAAATATCTTGTCTACCTGATGCTCCTTCACTCAGCCAGGAAAACGTGAATTCATTATATTCCCTAAGGCAATGATTGAGTTTAAACCTCCTTTTTTATTCTCTCTCTCTCTCTCGATTATTTAAATATCTTCCAATCCCCCAACCCGATCTATATTCCGTGCATCAGCCACCGTGACTTCTTTTGACATGAAAATCTGATCACGCTTGCCCCTGTCTTGCTTAGAGACTTCAGTGGCTTGTCACTGCCTTAAAAATGAAGCCCAAACTCCTCATCTGGCATGAAAGCTTCATTGTCTTGTGTTTTTGCTGCATGGCGCCATCAGCCACACCAGCCACTCCTGAACTGCTTCTGATTTCTGAAAGGGACTCTCTTGCCTCTAGTATGTGGCTTTTCATTTTGCAAAATGGCCCACACCACTGCCTCCCCATCTCCCCTCTCCCATCTCCCAAGTGTCTTCCCGGTGGAATGTTACCACTTCTTGTGCTTTGAGAGCACCATCTCTCGAGACTGTCACTCTGTGTTGCAATCATGACTCTGCCGCTTACTAGCTCTGGACCTAGAGTAGGTTATCCTGCCCTTTGGTTCTTTTGTTTCCTCATTTGTGAAACAGGGTAAAATTAGTGCTCATGTCATTAGGCTTTTGTCAACACTGAATAAACACATATAATGCATTTATCACGCAAGTACACAATAAATTATTATGATTAAATCCATTAACAGTGTCACATTTTATGTACTTTTTTTGATCACCTTGAAGGTAATAAAAAAGCAAAGCTATTATGACCTGAGATCTTAAATAGAAGAAAGCATTCCAAAGCCAGGTATGATGATTTGAGAATTACTGGTGCATTAGGATCAGTCCTTTGCTGTTGTGTTTTGTTGATTTGGGTAGTTGATGCCCAGTTTAAGTGTATGAATAGTGCTCCAAAGACCCATTTAATAATAAAAATTCCTATGTAAACAAAAGAACCTCCCTCTGTTTAAGTGTCAATGTGTTGTAAGCTGCAGTGCAATAGCCTCGTCCGGTAGGATTGCCATTTTATGAAGTCGCTGTGTTTTGAGATGTTTTACGTTCACATAAGCATTTACCGTCTACAGACGCGTCCGCACTTCCTGCGGGTCTGAGTGTGATTTTTCTCCTTTGCTTTGGAGCTTTGCAATTAGAGGCCTGTTGTGAGAGTTGAAACAAATTTAACTTTGTTTCCTCTCTATGATATCTGTCAGTGTGTGTGTGTTTTTTTTTAACAATTCATTCATTCAATAAACATTTAATTGCTGCCTCTGCTGTGTGCCAAGCGCTGTTAGGGTTTGTGTAGGACACAGAGATAAGTAAGCTGTGGTCTTAGGCTCCAAGTCATCAGCATCTGCTGTTTTTTTTTTCTATGTTATGAATATCTTTGTTTTTAATGACCATCAAATCTTAGTGTTTATACTTGATAGACTCTACTACAATCAGCAGTAAGTTACTGACGTCATTGTTTAACTATTAACTGCAATGAAACTTAAACACTTATTTCTCCTTAATTCTACCCCCATCACATCCTGGGCACCTTTTCTATGAAGCTGAGTCATCCGATGGTGGCTATTCCTGAACACGAAACTCTTGACTCCAAAGAGGTAAATACACGTAAGGTACAATCGGACATCTGGTTATCCATTTGCACGTGACACTCGGTTGTAGAAATAAGCCAATCTTATTTTTTTTAATATTCATAAAATCAGGTTTTTTTTTTCAAAGAAAGAGTGAACTGGCCTGCTCTGGGTTGTTTGGAAGCCCCTGACAGTTAAATGAGTAAATTGTTGCTGCTTCTCCGTGTGGAAGATGGTACTAAGTTCCCCGTGTTTGTAGGACCTTGATCACAAGCAAACTTCTATCCTGACTGTCTGTCTTTGTGATGTTCTCTCTGCAGTCATATGTGAAACCACCCTTGTCTTCTTTTCCTAGAGGGTCAGTGGATGTCCCATAATACGTCTATGTGTACCTCATGGTAGCTCAGTTTCCCAGCCTCCAAGAGAATTTTGCCTATGGCAGGTAGCGTCCCAGCGAAGCATCTCAAACACAGCCTCTAAATTTCATGCAAATGTCTAAACACTTTCACGTTTTGAGCTGACAGACACAAATCTAAATTTTAAAACCTTGTTATTTTTATAAATGCTATTCAAAGAGACCAGAAAACAACACTGTAAAAAAAAAATTATACCAAAAAGACAAGAAAAAAATTTGTAAAGAAAATATTAATTTTGTGTTAATTAAAAGCAAGAATAATTGAACAATGTTTTCTTCTTCTACATCCTCTCAGGCAATAAATGTGGGAAATGTGAGGGAGAAAAGTGCTTTGATGGATTTCTCTTTAAGAAGGTGAAAAGTGAGCTCATTCATTCATTTCAGATACCCTCACAAATGAGGCATGTTCAATTCTGCAGCATCTAAGTTTAGGGGAAAAAATACAAAAGAGAAGCAGGAATAGTAAAATTCCAAATTCCAAATGAAATTCTAAATAAAATCTGAATTTATCCCCCAAAGCATATTTTCCACAATTTAGGGCATATTAATCCACTTTTCAGAAACTGACATCCCTGTTTCTGCAAATTTTGAAACCTCTGTCATGCAAGACCCATGTGCCTCTCTGCTACAACTGTACTTATTAAAATAATAAAAGCATGTTACGAGTAGGTGTGAATTCGTATCCTTGACCACATCTCTGATTTTTTTTTTTTAAACCAGGATTATTGGCTTAATGAGTATGGACACATGGAAAACGTTCAATGCATGTAGCCAAGTAGCATTACTGAATAATTGTGGCAGTTGAAACCTGTTACAATACCTGTTTCCATGTTTACTCACCAGCATTGAGAATTACTATAAATTGCTAATTTATGGAGCGCTTACTATATGTTAATGTGTTAGTCACTTTATATGCATTCTTTTACTTAACCTTCACAAAACATTGTAAGTTAAGTATTATCATTGGTCCCATTTTACAGATGAGGAAAGTGGGGGGAAATCGGTATATTGCCTACAGTCAAAGAGCTGACCAGTGTCTGCACAATCAGGAACAGAATCCAGATATCACTGCCTGGAGCCTGAGCGCTTAACCAGTCTACTGTCCTCCATCACTTTCTTCATCTAAAACTCTATGCCGTTTAAATCTTTTCCCCTTTGAAAATCATGTTTTCAAATATTTGCAATTTAAAAGGGAAAATGATGTTTCGTTTTCATTTATGTTAAAAATTTCTGTCTTTTTCTGTTATTTTCATCTATTTTGCTTTTGCATCGTATTACACATTTATGTACTGATTTGGCAATATTTTTACTATTGAGTTGTAAACTCCCTTTATATACTAAGGAGATGAACTGTTTGTCAAGTGTGGCAAATTGTGTAATAGTAAAAAAAAATTGGACAAATATAAATGTCCTAAAATAGGAGAATGTTTGAATACATTTTGCTGATTTCAGATGAATGTTAAAAAATAGCCAAATATTCCCTTTCAAAAATAAGAATTTTGGCTCAAGTTTACAGTGGCTCTAGATACAAATGAGAATGTTTCTAGACAATCAGAGAAAATCAATTGGTTATTTAAATAACAGAAGCGTTTGGTTCAGATAATGACTGCTGAATGAAGAAATTCTGAATGTTGAGTAATGTGAAAGGCTCTGTTGCTGAGAAGAAAGAGCAGGGTAGATGCAATAGTGTAGAATCTGCATTTTTTTTTTTTACCAGTTATGCACAACCGTAGCAACAAAACTTAAAATTAAGCTAGTGGATAAGATTGCCAAAAAATAATTTCAACTCTCATGTTTAGAATATACAAAAAGAAAAACAAAACAAAACCAAAAAAACCATCATAAAATAACCCCAAACTTTGAAGTTTAACAATGGTGAGAGAGAGTTATTGTTAGTATTAAAAGAAACAAAATTAAGCAGACTACCATTTTATGCATCTAATATGCTGTCTTTTACTTCTTTATAACACTGGCACATTTGGGAGCCGTTTAACACCTTTTTTTACAATTCCTTATGCCATGTGGTCAGACTGTAATATTTACCCGAGTATTTTTCCCAAACCCTCTCTTTGTTACTTATTTACCTGCAAAGCACCGACCAAGAAAACGACTTCTTTTGCTTTATGCATTTCTGGTCTTATGAGTATAGGACCTAAGAAGTAAAATGTGCTAGTGACCAACCCAGTGTGAATAAACAATCATGGAGAACCTTGATTGGATCTCAGAATTTCTGCCTAGCTGTTCTCTCCTTTTCTAATTTTTTTGGGGGGTGTAGGAGTGGAGAGATAATTAGGTTTATTTATTTTTAGAGGAGGTACTGGGGATTGAACCTGTGACCCTATTCGTGCTAAACATGCGCTCTACCACTTGAGCTATACCCTCCCCACCTTCATTTCCTACATGATAGCAGTTTGCCTTTCTCGCAACCATACTCCTGTTTCCTGCATACGCTCCGTGCTATTCGTAGACACTAGTTTTT